CACCCTGGATGTCTGCTTCCCTTTGCTACGTGTCTCCATTGCTGCACTCCTTCCATAAGCTCTGTCTATCCCAAGGCTGTCATCTGAGAGGAGAGGAGACGTTCTGGACTCACTCTCTCGCAGGACTGCCTTCCCTCCTGGCCCCACCCCGTGACTCTCCAGCGGCAGGGGATGCTCTGTGAGCAGCAGGTGCTGGGGACCTGCATGCATTTCCTGCAGCTTGGGCTTGGGGACGTTGGTGTCTCTGTCTCTGTTTGCCCGGCTGCTTCCTAGAGGAGGCTCATATGCCCTTTTAGGGGGGAGGTAGCATGTGTGCCTGCTGCAGAAGTATCTATCCCATCTGTGCTGCAGGTTGTGATTCCTCCCTCCCAGGAATTTCCTGCACACAGACCAGGCCCTGGCTGGAGAGGTAGATCTGCCCTCTGTGCTTACTGCAGCCATAAGCTGCAGAGCTGGAGCATGGGATCTGCCCACTGTCCCCATGCCACGGGCAGAGCTCGCAGGGCAGAGCAGCCTGGCCAGGGCTGCACCACCCATTGCTGAGGAATCAAGTGTTAGAGTGGGACGAACTGCCCTACAGCCTGGGAGCACTGGGGCCAGGACAGCTGTGTGGGGGAAGGTCTCAGCTTCCAGGTGCAAAATCTTTCCCATGGCCTGGTCCACACACTGGCTGCAGGGCATGCTCCTTCCAGGGATCTGCTGTCTTGCCCTGAGAGCCCCTTTTCCCCAGGGACGTCTCTCCCAGCAGCTTGGGGCCACAAAGAGACATGGTAGCTGATGCCCTGTAGCCGAGATGGGTAAGAACATATAAGGGGGGTGTCCTGAGCACAGCAGGGCCCTCTTTGGTCCTGTAGCTGGAGAAAAAGACCTGCGGTATGGGCCCACAATTACTCCTTCCAGGCACTTAAGAAGGGAGCTGGGGCTGTGAGCTCTCACTGCCTACCATGGGGCCTGTTAGCCTGTGCACGGCTGCTGTCAATGTGGCCCTTGGCAGGAGTAGCCATCATGGGCACTGCTGTAACCCTGTGCTATGCCACCTCTCTTCTCAGGAGTGGGTTTCTCACCAGGCTCCCTCTCTAAACTCTTTGTTCTCCCCACTGGCCCTTCACTTCTCACTGGGGCGATGCTCAGTGGGTTGCATTCATGCTGATGCTGGTACCCAGCTCCAGCTGGGAACAGCTTTGTGCTCCCTGGGGACCGCCCTGGCTCCCTCTGAAGCAGCAATGGAAAAGCCAGAATTTTTATTCCCCCAGGGAAGGAGAAGGTGATTTGGAGCATGTGTGATGGGATTGCCAGGGGAACTGGAGGACCAGCAGCACCACCATGGGTAATTAAAAATATATTTACAGGAAATCATACAGGTTTTCCAGTCATGCATAGAGATTCTGCTGCCTGGTCTGTCCCCAGAGCCCTGGACATACATGGCAGAGCCAGGACAGACTCCCTCTGCCACTGATACTGTCCTGGAAATGTGAGCCACCATAGGGACACAGCTATGGTCAAGGTCACTGTAGGAGGGTCCTAGCTGGAGACCAGATGGATGCTGAATGTGCCCGTGGCACTGGCCATCAAGCCTTTCTGAGCACTGGACTTCCATCGCTGCTGGCCTTCCACCTTGAAGCAACTCCACAGCAGGATGCTGCAGCAGCTGCTGGTTGCTTGGTTTCGGGAGCTCCCTGCCCAGCCTCGAGCCGTTGAGAAGGAAGGGGCTTTAGCATCAAGGGGGTTTACTCCCAGACCCTGCTTGTGCTCAGCTGCAGGGAAGCAGGGCTGTTCTGTGCTGCGCAGAGGGGGCCTGAGCGGAGACCTGCTAATGGTGAGTGCCCTGGGAATGGGAGTCAGTGTGCTGAATGCAGAGCAAACTGGATGGGTCTGGTGTGCCTTTTGCTCCATCAGGAGATGACTTAAGACCTCTATATGGAGCTTGGCTCCATGACTACATCCTTGTGCCCTCCCTCACCCAACCTGTGGGCTGCTCTGCCCTACAGTCCTGTCTCTCCTCTGGCTGCATCCTGCTCCGCCAAGGAGCCAAATCACTGCCCTAAGCTCTGTCCCAACCCAGGGCTGGCTGTTGAAGGGGTAAAGCTTTCCTTGGCTCAACAGATGGTTTTTTAATTAATACTCTTGTTAGTGCCACTCATTTCCATATGTCTTTCATGCTTAAGTGCTGTGGTGGGTGAGAGGTGTGAGTAACAGCAAGGATGGAGCCAGGCGTGGCGCTGCCGAGGGTGGAGGTGCAGGGGGATGGTGGGTCCCCCATGATGAGCTGCGGAGGGGAGTGTGTGCTGGGGCGAAGCACTGGGGGGGGGCGCACTCCTATCAAAACCTTTTGTGGCTAGCTGTAACCCCCCCAGCCCCGGCTCTTGGTGCCCGGCGGG